GGGCACTCTCAGCACCAGCAACACAAAGTTAAAACCAGAATGTCCGCTCTACTGAAACCCCCTTATGACCCCGGAGTGCCTACAGAAATCCATCTCTATTCATGAGTGCCAATTACCAACTTCCCAAACTTCCCCACTCAAATTTCCAAGTGGAAATTTCGTTTTCTATATTCTTCAAGTACAAGTAAATTCCACTCACTATTTCTCAGGTCAAACTGATGTTGTAGCCTCCCTCTAGCCTCTCAGTCCTTCTCAAACTCTATTTAATACACATAAAATCTTACCTAATTTCTGTTGTCCCTGTGTCATGGTCCCTCCTCCAAACAAACTCCTTCCTATTCCCACACCACTTTCTTTACCCTATTTTAGTTTCTACAAGTTGTAGAAGACTTGAGCTCATCTTTCCCGTCCTGGATAAGACCCAAGGTTTGTGACTCTATACCTCAAATGGGTCTAAAATACAGACTGTCTTTAATTTAGTTTGACAATAGCAAAACTCTCAAGTGAGGCCACACTTGAGTTTAATTCTCAATGGGGGGTATGCTTTACTCTCTTTTAAACATAAAACAAGAATGCATCTCTGTGTTTCCTGCTCCCCATTTCTAGTCCACTGCTTAACAGCTTTCAGCAATGTTTCACAGAGACATTTCTTCACTTCCTCTTGTTCTTTGTAGCTTAGCTGCCAGCCTGACATTAACATTCAAGAGCAGCAGCAGCACTCTCTTAAATTCCAAAAAGCTTCCAACTGCCAACAGTAAAACCAGGCGCTTTAAAAAACCGTCTTAACATATATGCATACAGCTTGGGCATAAGGACCACATAATGAAGCCTTTGATGTCTTGATAACAAGTAAATTAGGAAGAGTTTGAAACACATTAACCTAATTCTCAACTGTACGGGGGAGGGTAATAATCCAAGATATACACACACACACACACACACACACACAAATAATTTACTTTCCTTGGGCAGTCAAAAAACAAAGTCACTTTCCAAATTTTCACCACATAACATTAAAGTAACTTCAAAACATTTCTGTTGTTCCAAGATTAAGTTTCCAACAGTTTAGTGTAGCTGTGATCTGAAAATGCCTGTAATTTGTTTCAATTCCTATTTCTCTTCAGCCTGTTCACCTTAGAATAATGATGGACAAGTATTAACCAATGGCTAGGATGTACCTCAAATGTTTAAAGTGCTTGCCTACCTACCACACAGAAAAGCACACATCTTTTAATCCCAGCATTTGGGAGGTGGTAGCAGAAGGATTAAAAATTCAATGTCAATTTTAGCTACACAACAAGTTCTAGGTCAGGAAATGATACACAAATTCTTATCTTTAAAACAAAACAAAACAACAGGCTGGAGATGGCTCAGTGGTTAAGAGCACTGCCTGCTCTTCCAGAGGACCACAGTGCTCTTGCTGGGTAGGTCACTACCACCTGTAACTCCAGCTCCAGGAGATGATGCCCTTTTAGACTCCACAGGCAATTGTACTCACATGTACATTCCCATATATAAACACAGATACATTAAGCACACAGACACAAAATCAAAAAATAAAAGCAGGGGTCTGAAGAGGTAACTCAACGGTTAAAGAGTATGTACTGCTATTCCCAAGGACTCAAGTTTGGTTCCCAGTATCAGCATGACGGCTCATAACTGCCGCAAATCCAGCTCCAGGGGATGTGATGCCCTCTTCTGGCTTCCCCAGCACCAGGCATGCACAGACATATACACACTCAACGTCCATCTATATATATAAATTTAATAAGAAACTATGATACATAATACACACACACAACCCACTAGACTTAGTTTAAGCAACTCTTCTTGTGCTAGAGATTGAACCCAATGACCTGCTCAAGTTAAGCACTCCTTCTATCATTGATCTATACCACCAGGCCCCAGTGTATCTCTGAAAGAAACTTAAAAACGTGCCTTTTTAGCTGCTGCTAGTTTACTAAGGGATAGTGGAAAATTGTCTGGGAAGCTTGGGCTTAAAAAATGCTCCCATGTTCTAATGAACTCAAAAAAGTACAAATAACTAACATTCTGTAACAGAGCATTTCCTTAAATGCCTTTCACAAGACTACAGCCTGGTGTTTGGGAGACTGATTTTCAAAATATATACGTGTACACACAAGTGCGTGTATGCAAGTATGTATGTGTGTCGATGAACATTATACACAGTCCCAGAGTAAATGAGTAAAAGATCTCATTTTCTGGAGAGACGGGACATCTCAGCAGGACAGAGTCCCCCTCAGCCTCCAACTTTGAGAGGATGAGCAAGTGTGTTTCAGCATGGTGCACTGCACTTGTCCAAGAACCTGACAGTCGCTGACAGGTTAACTTCCTGGAGAGTGTCCTAAAACTGACAGATTATCTTCCCCACCCAAACAAAAATAAATCAACAGGCCCTTTTATGCTGGATTTTTTGTCCTGAAACAAAATCCAACTTCAATAATTGTTGTTCATCATCACTATTATTCCAACAAACATTTACTGAAATGTCTTATTGCAAAAATAAAGAACTGTCAGCTGGGCATGGTGGTGCACACCTTTAATCCACTCCTGAGGCAGAGACAGGCAGATCCTTAGAGGCCAGCCTGGTCTCTACAAGTTCCAGGATGACCAAGACTATGCTATATAACCAAGATATAAAAATGTAATTCTAAGCCAAAAGAACCTTAATTTTCCCTTAAAAGTCACCTGCTTGTGGTTGTTTCACATAAAATGCTTTGAACAGACAACCCAGGGGTCTGGTTAAACCTGCAGTATACCAGCAATAACAATTCATGCATTTACTTAAGTGGCCTTCACCTCCCTAAGTAAATTAGCAACGGGTGTGTAATTATGCCTTAATTAAAAAAAAAAAGCCACACAACCTTGGATTCCACTGACATATATATATGAATATCGAGGGAAATATAAAATTTCTTCTATAATTCTGTAGGTTCTTTTAACAGTATTTTTTGGGAAAACACCTAGCTTCAGTTGGCTAGTCTTGGCTAAAGAGAATATGAACCACTTACTACTAGGCAAAGTCATTTTCCCTTCTGCATGTTGAGTTTGAGATTATAATGAAGTCAAGAGACTTTAAATAAGGTGGGCTAAAAGACTCATAATCTGATTATTGTTTTATTTTTGTTTGGATCAAGTACCCAACTGAAAGAAACAGTCTAACTCCTATCAGGAAAAAGAAAAACAAAACAAAACAAAACAAGGCTGCCAGTGTAGGTCAGCAGCAACTGGTTCTTTGCATGCCCAATGCCCTGGGTTAGATTCCCAAGCACAGAACAAAAAATAGAGGAAAAGAAAAAAAAAGGCCCCCCAAAAAATCTGCACACAATTCAGCACCCAAATTAAAAGTAAATACACAGTCTGACTATATATTTCCTTTCGTGCTCATAACTAACCATATTTTTACTACCTTATAGGAAGGGTAACTGGTCAAGAACTTTCAAACAATGTTAAGAAGTTAGGACACAACTGAATAAAAAAAAAAAAAAGCAAAACCAACACACCTATAAAAAAAAGTTTCTCTGATGTTCCCCTCTTCTCTTCCCTTGAGTGAGGAACAAACCAATAACTTAGTGTTCAAGACCAAAGAGAAAAGAATTTAAGAAGAATGGCTGAAGACTAGGAAAAGGACCACTCCTCCCAGAAGGACAAAAGCGTTCCCACACTCCTCCAGAGCACTGTCCCAACTGACAGGTTCACTCCCACTAACTTTCACCCAAAAACACCGTTTAAACACTCAGTAAAATGTAAATTTTTGCTCTGCCTAGGGAAAAGAATTCTGCCCAACCGATACCAACTCTAACGTAAACAATTAGTAAACGATATTTTAATGGCTGGGAAGATGGGATGAACTGTTAACAGCTCCTCCAACTGGTCAGAGCGGATAGTCTTTGAAGCCCTAACAACATTAAGATAATTTAACAATTCCAAGTTCTGGTGGGCAGTCAGGTGCACCGTACCAAGTTTGGGACCAGCAGCAATGACACAACAGGTGAGAACCGCAGTGGACATCATCACTACAAAACATGCAATGGCAAACCCCTGAATCCACGAAACCTGGGATACGGGACAGGATCAAGCACAAGACCGGAATCCCCATCCCAGACCCCGTTTTAACCGAGGCTAAGGTCCGTTCTTTCCGAGGGGTGCGCCGCCTCCCCGCTCTCCTACCCCGGGAACCACCACGCCAGGCCCGGTTAGAACCCAGACCCCTCGGTGGGCATCTCCGCCGTGGAGGAAAACACAATGTCGCTCCTTATTTCTGCGTACAAAAGGACTTTGCGCCCTCCTCCTCGAACTGCCGCCTAGGCGCCTCATCCCAACTTGCAGGAAGGTGGGCAGCGCGCCATATTCAGCGCCCCCCAGTCCACCTGGGGAAGCAGCCCACGCCACCCCGGCGGGAGGGAAGCTTCGGAGGTCGCCCGGCCGAGCCACCAGCCTCCTTCTCCCGCCAGAGACAGCCACTCCCGCGCCCCGCCCGGCCGGCCGCGCCGCGCAGCCGGCGGACGAGACCCGGGAAGAGCCGAGGGGGCGAGAGCCGAGCCGCCGCTCCGGTCCCGCGCAGCCCACCCACCTCCCGCTCCCGGGCCCGGCGCGCTCTCCCGGGCCGCCCGCTCCCGAGCCCGTGGGGGAAGGCCAGGCCCCGGGGTTCCACGGCGCGGAGAAGGCCGCGGCCCGGAGAACCCGAGGCGGCAGGGGAGGCCGGAACCCTGGGGCTCTCGGGAGGGCAGCCGCCTCCCTCTCGAGCCCGCCAGGACGCCTGGGGCCTAGTGCGGCCTGCGCATCCTCGGGGTGGCGGTTTGGCTGGGCCGGGCCCGGGTCCCCCGCCCCAGGCAGGCCGAATCCGGCAGGGGCCCAGGCCCCGAGCCGGGGGCGGCAGGGTGCCGGCTGCGGGGCGGGCCGGCCGGCCGGCGGGCGGGCGGCGTGTTGCGGCTGCGCCGGGGCTGAAATAGCTGGAGATTGCGCGGTAGGGCACTCACCTCAGAGCGGCTGCGCTACCGTGGGCCTGCGCCGTGGAGACTGCGACCGCGCCGGCTCCTCGCAGCCTCCTGCCACCAGCGGCAATGGCGAGCGCTGCCGCCTCTGCCGCCGCCGCCGCCGCCGAGGAGGGGGAGGGGAGGGAGGAGGCACGCACGCGACGCACGGCTCAGCTTCCCCGCCCGGAGACCGCCATGATGGCAAGGCCGGCGCTGCTCTGGCGACCCCGGGGAGGGGGCTCTCGGCGGTGCTCTCGCAACCCCCGGCCGCCTCGTCGGCCTCTCGTGCGGCTGTGCAGCCTTAGCTGGAGCCGGGAGGCGTCTGGATGAACGAACCGGGGCCGCGGCGGCCGAGAGTCTCATGCGGCCCAAAATGGTTGCTAATCCGAAGGGGACTCCGCTCAGTCCCCGGCGCGGAGAACTGGGACCTCCGCTCCAAAGGGGCTCCCCCACATTTTCCTCCGCGCGGCCTGGGTCGCAGCCTCGACCCCCTCTCTGAAAGGAGACTTCCTTCTTTCAAAGCCCTAACCAGACCTTTCAGCGAAAAAGTTTAGTACAAAGCAATATGGTAATTTAATCTCTCGTTATTAGATGAACATTTCTAAGGAACCCCTTCTGTACTGGATGCTGCTGGGGGGGGGGGGGGGCTCCGAAGTGCACCTGTTAGCAAATCAAGGCCCATTTTAAGAAAAAATAAAAAATTCAGTTTTTGCCCTTGTGTGTGTGTGTTGAGCTTTACTTGAAGCCTTAAGGACTTTAGTTGCATGCCTAACAAATGAGGTTGGAGCCATGAGGGTTTGGGTTGGTTTTTGTGTCATCAGGAGTCACCATCAGAATCACCTAGAATCTCAGCTGTTACCCCGAGAGCCTGCATTTTTAACACTTCCTGGAAATTTTTATGCACCCTAGATAATTTTAAAATGTCCCGGAGGGTGTCAGAAAACAGCTTAACAAATAAGGAAGCATCCGTTTTTACTAACGTTTTCTTCAAAAATTGGATGTCTTTTTTTCCTTGATACCTCCTAAAACAGCGTCGAAGATACCACCCATCGCTGTGGGAACAATTCCTACTCCTTTACCTCAACTTTACATACTCTGTGCAATCTTTTCTATTTATTTTTGAGACAGGGTCTCACCTATGTAGCCCTGGATGGCCTGAAACTCGATATAAAGGCCAGGCTGGTCTCCAGCTCGGAGATTTTGCCTGTGCTTGCCATCCAGGTACTGTAATTAAAAACATGCCCCTGTGCCCAGACATTCCAGTGAAATCCTTCAAACCGTTGCTGCCTGTCATTTCTTACTTCTGTTCAGGCTGTACTTAGACACCTCATGGTCTCCCTGTCACTAGACTGGCCCTCTCTAGTCCATTCTGCACACTTCAACTTGAACGACCTTTTTTTTTTTAAAGCAAATCATTCAAATCAAGTTCCCTGCTTGAGATGTTTAATTAGATCCCATTACTCCTAGACTAATGTCTAAAATTTTTTTTTTTTTTTTTGGTTTTTCGAGACAGGGTTTCTCTGTGGTTTTGGAGCCTGTCCTGGAACTAGCTCTTGTCTCGAACTCACAGAGATCTGCCTGCCTTTGCCTCCCGAGTGCTGGGATTAAAGGCGTGCGCCACCATCGCCCTGCGCGTCTAAAATTTTTGAAGGTGGGTTTAAGGACTTTGATGACCTCATCTGCCACGTCTCTCTCAGACTGTAGAAGACCTGGGAAGCCTTGGGTCATATCAGCCTAGGAATTCTGACATTTTGCAGTTTTTGCAAACACTGTTCCTCTTGCTCAGAACTTTTTTTTCTCTTCCGTCTTCTCAACCTGCTAGAAAAATTCATCAAAATAACTGTTAGTCTTTTAGTCTCAACATTTCCTTCATCCCTCGTTCCCCAAGATGGGGTGCTTTGTCCTTTCCTCATTAGACCCAGGACTTCCCCCCTTCTCCGTTTATTTATCCTGGGCCTCACGTAGCCCAGGCTAGCCTCCATTGTACAGCTGAGAATGCTGTTCAACCTCTAAGCCTTCTGCCCCCACCGGTTGCTGGGATTCCAGGCCTGTGCTACCATGCTGGGGACCAAACCCAGGACTTTTTGCATGTGAGAATAGCAGTCTTAACAGCTGAGCAACATCCCCAGCCCACACTTTATTCCCCTTCTCATTTCCTTCTCAGATGCAGCCCACATAAGTACATTTGACAGATAAAGAAACCAGAATATGTAGATGTTAGTTGCCCAAAATCAGACGGTAAGAGATGGAACCAGTTCCGCGCCTGACCTCAGAGCTGCACTCTTTACCGTCACCAGAGCTTGTAGAGGGCAACTCAGAGCCTCTCGCAAGGCACAAGAGAAATTTAGCGGGCCATGGCCAACTTTCCATAAAAGAAAGATAATATCAGAGGGCATTAACTTAGCCTTTTGTGAAATTTTCACAGATTTTTCTACTATAAATTTCCCAATTTTACAAATATTAAAATAGCAATTAGACACTATTTATTACCAAGGTTTGTATAATGGAATGACTGTTATATATGGCTTTAACTTCTTCATCATCCTTATATTAATTCTGTACATCCTTAAGATTTAATGCCTGGTCTACAAGAGCTAGTTCCAGGACAGGCTCCAAAGCTACAGAGAAACCCTGTCTCGGAAAAACAAAAAGAAACAAACAAACAAAAAGATTTAATGACATTCAGCATCCCAAACAAATTGAAATGACTGCCCCCAAATCAACCTGGCTGATCTTTGCAAGAGAATGGGGATTCGTGTCTTGGCAGGCCAAGGCTGCCTGTTAGCCAGCTATTTGGCTCAGATATATCAGAGTATTCTGTCAGTGCAGTGAACACACCAAGTCCTTTGTATGCAAATCCTGTGTCAACAGGTTCTCAGACCGCCCTACACATTCAGTTCAGTTCTGGTTCCTCTCGCCTGTCTCCTGAGCTTATTGATTGGGTTATCAGTGAAATTCTGGAAGCCTCCACCCAGATACTTTACCCACCTGGTTAGGTCTGACTGACCTCATCGATGACTACGTTCGGTGTTCTTTTCTAGTCTCGCTGTGGAAGGAGAGAACCTCCACCCGAAAGTTGTCCTCTGACCTCTGTGTGCCTGCCATGCTGCGCACACCTTCACACAAACACAATCGTTTCTTTTAAGGCAGGCGATCCTAATGGCCTCTTTGAGCACTAATGCTTAACTTAGCATCAGAGACCGCTTTTGTCAGTGCTGAGCAAGGGCTACGATGGTAACGGTGCGGCTTCGCTGGGGATCAAACGTGAGTTCAGCAGGACTCTCAAGTCTCTCTACTTCTTATCACTCAGGAAGACTGTGAGCAAATGTTATCCGCCCTCCCCAACCTGTCCCCCAGACAGAAAGAAAATCTTGCTCACTGGGAGACTATGAAGTAAGTTCCATTTTCCTGGGTAGAACATTTACAAGATTAAGAGTTAGCCGTCCTATTATTTCGCTATTTCGCACAGCCTGAGAGGTGACGAGGGCTACCTCTGGCCTTGGAAGAGGCAGTCCAGCCAGGTCATGCGGCACATGCGCACGCACATGGTCACCAAATCCTAGGGCAACACAGGCTTGGACAACTCCAGCCTTGGACAGAGGCTACCAATTACAATCCTGTCTAAACCAGTTTCTTGGTTTGGGGTGACTCTGTCTTGCTAAGAAGTAAACTTCTTAGACTGCTGTTTGAGGGATCTGGAGAGGTGGCTCAGCGATTAAAAACACTGACTGTTCTTCCAAAGGACCTGGCTTCAATTCCCAGCACCTTGCAACGGTCAGTAACTCCAGTTCCAGGGGACCCAACGCGCTCACACAGACATACCAGCAGGCAAAACATCAATGCACACAAGAAGGTAAATAAATAAAAGTTATCTTTTAAAAAGCACTCACTTTAATCCCAGCAGCACCGAAACATGGATCAGTGAGTTTGAGGCCAGCATGGTCTACATAGAGGGCTACACTGAGAAATGCCGTATTGAAAACCAAATCAGGGCTAGAGAGATGGCTTTGAGGTTAAGAGCACTGACTGCCTTTCCAAAGGTCCTGAGTTCAGTTCCCACCAACCACGTGGTGATGCACAGTAATGAGATCTAGTGCCCTCTTCTGGCCTACGGGCATACACGCGAACAGAACACTGTATACATAATAAATAAAACTTAAAAAAGAAAACATAAAGACTCCTGTTGGGCATTGATGGGGTGGGGGTGGGGAACAGACAGAAATGACCAGCGTCTAGCCTATTCTGCATCGTGTGTGTGTGGGGGGGGGGGGGAGGATGTTTAGTTAATTATTAAGTTTCTCTTTGTTTGAGTGTATCATTGTTCCCAGGACTTCCCCGAGTAGAGACGCCTGGTAAACACAGAACAGCAGTATTCCTAGGTGTCCAAGAATATCTTTTCCATCCTGTCTTCCTCTCAGCCACTGAAAGATGCCCTGAAATTCCTCACTGGTGGGGGTTAGGGTGGAGGCAGCTAACTGAAACAAAATGGAAAGGGCCAGTGTAAACAAAAGAAAATCCAGTGCCACTCGGTGAGGGTTGAGACTCCTGAAAGGCTACAAGGGCAGAGGGCAGAGGGCAGAGGTGAGTCAAGGTATTCAGGACTGGAGGTCAGAGTTGGGCCTGGAAGTGTCCTTGACCCTCGCCTGACGGGAGCCTGTGAAGGGAGAGGATCTGTCAGTTTCAAACAGATTGAAGGATGGCTGGCCATAAAAAAGGGAAGCCTGCTGCTTTGGGAAATTACCTTGGTGCAGCAAGCAGCTTGGAGTAGAATTGGGAAGATAATCGGGAAGATAATCAAGCAAAGGGCAGAAGGAAGAATTTGAGAGAGGCTAAGAAGTTTCCTATATCGCTATAGTGGAGTGTGTTTTCCAATCACTCCCTAATACTTAGCTAATAGTGTTGAACAATTGCCCCCTTTAAAAGGAGATCATAGTCAGCAGTGGTGGCGCAGGCCTTTAATCCCAGCACTGGGGAGGCGGAGGCAGGTGGATCTCTGTGAATTTGAAGCCAGCCTGATCTACATAGTAAGTTCCAGGACAGCCAGGGCTACACAAAAGAAACCCTGTCTAGAAAAAAAAATGAGATCGTTCCATCAATTTATCCAACAACTACTCA